AAAAAAAAAAAATGGTGGATAAACTTATTCAAAACTATATTTCTAGTAAGAAGTAGGCCCGAATCCAAACTTAAACACACCTGGATCCAAATGCACCGCCCAAGTAGTGAATGATGCAGAAACAGGTGACACGTGAGGGCCCAGGCAAGAATGAGAATAGAAAGGCCTCCCTTAGCCACCGCTGTTAAGGGTTTTTTACCAGTTCCTAGGAGTACACCATCCTGATAGTAAGCATATGACAGAGTACTTGTTACGTTTCATTTATTTATTTAGTGAATACAGCTTCTTTCTAGGTTTAGGTTCAGTTTTCCTCAACTAATCCTTGCTCTCTTTCTAAGGTACCAAGTAAACCACCATCTGGGGTATTACTGAGAAATGTACCTGAAATGAACTAACCCACCTGATCACAGCAGTTGGGGTTCTCCTTCCCAGAGGGGCGGACCAGGTAAGCAGACCCCCTCAGTGTAACAGAGTCCATTGTTACCTCTGTGCCACGTGCTTGAATAGATAACATTATTCTCCCTCCTCCCATCCCCCAAAATGCCTAAATGTCTGTAGCATTTAGCACCTATGTATACATGTTCACACCAAAATAGTTTCCATGGGAATGTATTCCCTGAGTATATTTCTGGTTCATTTTCAGGTACTCTCGTTGTATGAGCACCATCAAGTTCAGCATTTATGGTAGTTCAACAACCATAATTTTATGGGCCTTTCTAGCCCTGAAAATTTATGATCATCAATTACCAACTCTGTGTTCATTAACTCTCTAGGTACCCTGGAGTTTATGAGAAGTTTTTCTTAGAGAGTTACAATCATGTTAGTGAGTAAAGGCTAATTTTAAAAACTATACAGCACAGGGAAACATAGCCATTATTTTATAATAACTTTAAATGGAATATAACCTATAAAAATACTGAATCGCTGTGTTGTGAATCTGAAATTTATATTAGTTTCTTTTTTTACTTTAATGAAAAATGAAAAACTACATTCTTTGACAAGAGAAGGGAATATTGGAGTTTAAAGAAGTGGGGAAAGGAGCTGGAATTATCAGAGAAGAAAGGATTTGTGAAAGCAGTAAGGATCACTTTGGCTGTGAAAATTATGTAGGGATCATGATGTTACAAAGATGTCAACACTTACTAAGCAGTTGTTATGTACCTAGCACCTTTCTAATTACTTCACGTAATTTCCCTTTGTCAGATCTCATGAGGTAGTTATTACTATTCCACCTGACAGAAGTTGTGGAGAATTATGACCATGGCCAATTGTCGTATAACAGTAACAGGCACTCCAATATTCAGACTCAAATCTGGATATCTGAAAATCCTGTGCCATTTTCAGTGTGCCAGTAAAGGGAGCACCACATCATGGCCAGGGTTAGCTAACAATATCCTGGAGCTTCCCTCTGTTCTCAGGTGCGCCCCTCTTTGTAGTGTGTCCTTGGCTAGCAGTCTTCTTCCTACTTTTCCCTTGGCTAATGTCTAACTTGCCTTTCACGTTTCAGCTTAAACATCAATTCATCAAGAAGTGAAACATGGAAAAACTGTGGAGAGTCAGAATGTTCCCTGAACTCCAAAGTGGATTAACCTGCCCCGCCCCCATAGCCACCTGTACCTTCACAATGCATTAGTAGGCTTAGCTAAAAGCTCTGCCCTTTGAGTTGCTGGTCTCTGATTAGGCGTGGCGGAGAAGGCAGCTTCCTAAATCTGATGTTTGCTTCAGGCCTGTCTCACCTTGCCTTCCAGAGATTTCAATATGACATTGTGGGAGAAGGTTAGGGACGCCAGTCCTACTGAGTAAATTCTTTAGAGCCACCTGTCAACTGTTTCCATTGGGGTGCGGAGCTCTGCTGCACCTTACATGATTTAACTCTGTCATTCAGGATTTAATCTGAAGTAAGAGAGCCTCCATCCGCGCAGAGGTCTGTTCCCTCCCTGCTGTACTCACAGGCTGGCTAGCTCTGGTCTCAGTGCATTGCTCTCCTAGGGCTTTGCTGGAATGACCAATAAGAACACACACCAGCATTCTGAATGTTTTTCTTTTCCCTAAAGCTGCAGGCTTAGTCAGCGTGTGGTCAGCTTTCCAGGGTATCACAAGGAAATGTTATACCCACGCTTCAGCACAACGCATGAGGGTCACCAGCTTTCCAGCCCGCACACCTGTACCCTCCCTTCACAGCCTGACTGCTAAGCCAATGTCGCATTTTTAGGTTAAGTCCAGGGATCCCATTCAAAGTGTGAAACTCTGGATAAGGAGTATGTTGGGGAGGAGTATTATGGAAAGCAATTAAACCAAATTTCTTACCTTAAATCTGTTATTAAGTACTGTGAATACGCTAAATTTTAAGTTCTTATGCAAAATAGTCCTTAACAATAATGAAAACCACCATTCAGCATGCTTACTCATGAACTTCCAACATTTTTTTCTATCATTATCAAAAGTCTTTCCATACATTTTGTATATTTTCCCCAAATTGCCTTAGATCACAAACCGCAAGCGTGTTTCCTGCTAACAAATCACAACACCCCCAGGAGATGAGTCTGTGAAATGTCCTCATTCCTAGGTGCAGTGTCCCTCCACCCCTCTGCTTAACCTGGCTAGTAGCCTTGAGTTTAAAACCCAAATTAGGTAAAACCTAACTTTTCTTTTGGGTCTCAGCAGTGACCTCAGGTCTTTATGAATGTGTGTGTCTGTGTGTGTTCCTCTGACATCATACTGAAAAGTGATATATCCGTGTGTGTGTGTGTTTATTGACATGCAGCACTTAATATCTGTTGGCAGAATAATGAATCTCTTAATTCCAGCCTGGATCTCAAAGGAACAGCTTTCAGGATTTGACCCATTTCTTCTTGTTCCAGATAATGTGGGTTTGACTTTGTCTTTTCATAGATAGATAGACAGATAATAGATTGACAGATAACAGATAGAGAGAGAGAGAGGCGTGTAAGTGTGTGATCTGGTTGACTCTAAATCTGGATTGGGTCATCCAGAATGAAAACCTATTTTGGTGCTGAAGCTCCGGAGAACGTTTCTTCTCTCACCTCTGGGTCCCTTTGAGCCATCTGACTCTGGTCTGCTTTCTTTCACTGCAAAGCAGCAGGCAGCGGTGGCAGCTCCTCTGGAAACTTTGGCCTGCTGTTTCCTGCACTAATTTATCCTCTCTCTGATTTCACCCCAGCTGTTTCCCCACCTCGTGCTCCCTGACTCACTGCCATAACAGCAGAGGTCCAGGGCATTCTGGGAAGTCTGCTCTCAGAAGGCACGGCAGGCCCCTAAATTCCCCCAGGCCCCGCCTTAAGCTTGGCGAGGGCAGCAGACAGCACTGCAAATGCCAACTGACAGGTGAGTTTTCTTTCTGTACAAGGCCTGTCATCTTTGCCCCTTCCCACCATGCAATGTGTGCCATCACTTCCGAAAGACATCAAGCAGGGGTCCTGACGCTGATGAGCCTGTGGGTTCTGGAGTAAACAATGGGAAAATACACTGAACCACCAGCTACGACCCCTGACCCAGAACAGACTCGTAGGTGCAGGCAATGTGTCAGGAATTCTCTTCCTCCCGGGGCTGGATGGTACATCAATTAGAGACTTTTTTTTTTTTTTTTGCTACGTGGTAGATATTTCCAAATCTGTTTAGGCAAAAAGAGACTTATTCTTATTGACAAGCGCCTTAGTGAGAACTCTATATTCAATTGAGTTCTATTCAATAACTAACACATAGTTATCTTCATTTTCATGGAAGCAAGGGATATTGTTTAAGGGGGAAAGAAGAAAACATTTGGGAGACATGGGGTATTTGAAGAAGGAAGTTTAAGTCCTGGGTAAAACTACTATAGTACCTTATCAGGGAATGTGGGAAATAGGGATGCAGACCCTCTCAGTCTTGGTGCAAAAGCTCCAGGACTCAGAGAGGGTGGCGAGAGAAAGGGGATCATGTCCTTCCACTGTCACTACAGGTTTGTTTTTTTTTTAATCAAATAAACCTCATTTTTCATTTCTCATTATTTCTGTTCAGATTCTTCCTTACCCCATTCAGGCCACTCCAGCCTCCCTGATGTCCACGCCCCCTTCCATCCCAGACATGCCACCTGCTTTTGCAACAGGTCACCATGTGGCTCACCTCTCACCCTTTCAAGTCTTTACACAAATGTCACCTTCTCGTGAGGCCTTCATTATCCCACCGCCCCCCCCCTCCAAAAATTCCTGAGGCTCTTTTCTAACTTATTTTTTGCTTTATCACTTAGTGCCCTCTAACATACATTTTACATATTTTACTTACTTATAAACAGACTTTCATCTGGTTTGCTCTCCTCTGTAGCCCCAGAGCCTGGAGAAGTTTCTGGCCAGAGCACTTTTTGCTTGTCCTCCTGCTTGTTGACAGACTGCATGAATGAATGCACAAATGATGGCCTGGCTGTCAACAGGGAACCCGTACCAGAACTTGACCCATTCCCTCTCCCTTCAGATGATGTGGTTTGATTTTTTCTTTTTTTTCTGTTGATCAGAAGCAAAAGTCAACATCTTGATCACCTATTTCTAAAACAAAAGAAGGTGTCACTTTCCCCAGAATCTCAGCATTATACTCGACACATCAAGTGAAGATAAGGTTGTAGAGAAGGGTTTGTCAGCCTGGGCACATGACAGATTCCACAGCCAGCAAGGATGAAGTCTTGAAGTCACCTGCAGGCTGGATTTTAGATGCCAGGGGCCTCCTGAGCTGCCTGCTGCTCCTAAAACCCTGGTCGATATCACAGGTGTGGAGGAGAGAGAATGGAGGACTGGAATAACAGTGGTTGCTTGCTGGCAACACTGCAGGGCCCAGAGTCACCTGTGCAGTTTCTGTACCTGACACCCACCTGCCAGGATTCTGATTTCCTCCTTTGAAAGATGCTGAGCGGCAACTTCGATACCCAAACAGGACTGAGATCCAGGGGTTTAGGGAAATAATACATCCCTATTCTTTACTTTGTCAGCAGTTCCTCCGGATCAGCTCTTCAGCTTAAGAATCGGCGTAGTTTCGGATTTCCTTCCCATTTAGGTCACCACAGAGCATTGAGTAGAGTCCCCTGTGCTATACAGCAGGTTCTTATTAATTATCTATTTATACATATTAGTGTATATATGTCCATCCCAATCTCCCAATTCATCCCACCTCCCCTTTCCCCCCTTGGTGTCCATATGTCTGTTCTCTACATCTGTGTCTCTATTTCTGTCTTGCGAACAGGTTCAGCTGTACCATTTTTTTAGATTTCACATATAGGCATTAATATATGATATTTGACCGAAATGGGAAGGAAATCCAAAAAAGAGGGGATATATGTATACATATAGCTGATTCACTTCGCTGTACAGCAGAAACTAACACAAACATTGGAAAGCAACTATACCGAAAATAAAAAAAAATCGGCGTAATTTCCCCGTGCGCAGGTGTGCGCATGGATAGATGTGCCGGGCACGTGAAGCACAGCCTGTGGCTACTGCAGGGTTAACCACTAAGGGTAACTGCCTGACTTCTCAGAATTTTGCTTAAAGTGGACCCAGTGCCCAGGAAAGTGGGTTACACCACTGACAACATTCCCTTTATGGGAAAAGACACTCTCATTTCTAAACAATAAGGTCACAAAATAAATTTTGAAAGAAAATTGATTTTTAATTTGGGAGTTGCCTATAATAGAGATTTACAGTTTTAAACACAAGCCCAATCAGAGGTCAAACTGGCAGAGACATGTTCTGAAAGGTATAATAATTTATGAACTGTTTACATTGGTTTTAGTGGAATATGTGCAGAAGGGATGGCTTACAGCTTGTGTATCCCAAAGCACAGTAAGAACTTAAGCAATAGGCCAAAAACTGTAGTTAACGTCTGATGTGAAAAATCTAAGACACCGTGGTTGTTTTTAGAAACTGAACTTTATAAAGATCTGCAAATTGTTGCCCCTTTTAGTTACTTAAGCGTAAGGAACTATTTTTTTTCCCTATGCTCTCAATTTCTTGTCTGGCCCTAAATGTGCTCTCCTGTGAATCTGTACTTCTCATCCTCATTTCTGAAGGAACTCCCTGCTAAGGCGCTCTGAGGATCCAGGTATGTTACCTGCACTGGAGGCAGAGGTCTTCTCAATGGTCTTCAAGGCTTCAGCCATAAATAACACATCATACACTGGTCCTGCAGCCTACTTCTGGTGTTGGAGGCAACCCCCAACTAGGAAGTGGTCAGGTGCAGAATCACAAAAAAAGAATCAGGAGAATTATTGCTATGAATGATCTCCATTTTCACTCTTCTTTCCTCCATAGTGGATGTATATGCTTTACCATCATCATAGATCTCCAAAGGCCTTTCTCAATTTATGAATTTTCCCCTTCACCCCATTACTTCCCCCTTCTCTGGTCCCTGCATCTCTGTTGTGTATATGTCCTTGGATATGTATGTATCCTTATAAGATTACAGGGGTTGATTCATATGAATATATGGTCTTACCTTATATAAATTGTATCGACCTATAAATCTGGTTCTCTTTATTATTTTCCACTCAACAATACACTTTCAAGATGTATATAGCTACCTACATGTCACACCCTGATTATTACTTCTAAATGCTACACAAAAGGGAAGGGTAAGCTGGGACTAAGTGAGAGAGTAGCATTGACATATACACACTACCAAATGTAAAATAGATGGCTAGTGGGAAGCAGCCGCATAGCACAGGGAGATCAGCTCGGTGCTTTGTGACCACCTAGAGGGGTGGGACAGGGAGGGTGGGAGGGAGACGCAAGAGGGAAGAGATATGGGGATATACGTATATGTATAGCTGATTCACTTTGTTATACAGCAGAAACTAACACATCATTGTAAAGCAATTACACTCCAATAAAGATGTTAAAAAAAAAAAAAAAAAGTCCTTGTGTGCATCGGCCTCATTTTACCTATTCTTTCCCCAGTGACAGGTTCCTCCAGTTTCTCACCACCACAAACAGGGATGCAGGAAACATCCTTAGACATGTTGAAGAGCAGTCGGTAACCAATAGCAGGGTTGCAGGAGTGTTAAGAGTATACACGTATGTTATTTCATGAGGTATTGCCAGATTTCTCTCCCCAAGGTTTCTACCAAATTCTACTCTCTCCAGCAGAGTATGAGGGTTCCCATTTCATTACCACCACCAGTGTTTGCTAGCATCCTAATTTCTAATTACCAAGCTGAGGAGTTTAAAGGACTGTATCAATATTAAATTACCAATCTGAAAAGTATAAAGGATTACATAAATTTTTTTTTTTTTTTTTTTTGTGCGGTACGCGGGCCTCTCACTGTTGTGGCCTCTCCCATTGCGGAGCACAGGCTCCAGACGCGCAGGCTCAGCGGCCATGGCTCACGGGCCCAGCCGCTCCGCGGCATGTGGGATCTTCCCGGACTGGGGCACGAACCCGTGTCCCCTGCATCGGCAGGCGGACTCTCAACCACTGCGCCACCAGGGAAGCCCCGGATTACATAATTTTTAATTTATATTTATGTGATTATTAGTGAGGGTAAGAATCTATTATAAGACATTCAGGCTTCTCCGTTTATTAATTGTCAACTCACATCCATTGATTATTTTCAATTTTATCTTAACTGCAGATCAACAGACATTTCTATTATATTCTAGATAATAATCCCTTGGTTTCTGGTGTTGCAAATATGGTTCTCAGTTCCCAGTTTATCAGCTGTTTGTTACCTTCAGTGTCCTTCACTTACAAAAAAACCCTTAATTTAGATGTAGTCAATTCAACCCACTTTTTTTCTGAGATCTGTAATTTTTTTCACATTTATACATTTACTTCATGGAAATATGTTCACAACATATTGTTAAAGAAAAAGGTAAGTTATAAAACAGCATGTATACTATGTTCCTATTTATATAAAATGATTCACAATATCAGTCTTCTTCATCAGTTTGGGTATAAAAAGAGTCATATTTCTTTTATTGTTCAAATTATAAAAACCCCAATCTTATTCTGTTCAATTTAGGGAAAAATACAATTTTCCTTTTTGGGTCTCCTGCCCCAAGATTCCTCAGGGACATTTCTCAATGTCAGTTTTGTTGACCTTTTCACAGAACCAACTCTTGGTTTTGTTGATTTTTTTCCTACTGTTTTTCTATTCTCTATTTCATTTATCTCTGCTTTAATCATTATTTTCTTCCCTCTGCTAGCTTTTCCCAATCAACTTTTGACTTTTAGGGTATGTGAATTAGGGTTTTGTCTAAAAAGTCATATTTATAAAAGTTAGCTTTCTATTTGGTGTAGATTTAAAAAATACTGATGTACATTTTTCCTATATAAAAAGCCAATTTCTTCAACAAGTTTAATTAAAAAGTCATTCTGTTTCCCATGATTTGTGGTGAAATTTATAGCATTTAATAAGGATTAGATTCTGGGATATCCATTATATTTAATTGGCCCTTTTGAATTCATTTATTCTATTATCCATTAATGTACTTAAGAAATATTTATTGAGCACCTATTATAACCCAGACATTATTTTATGTCCTGGGGAAACAGACAAAAGTTTCTGACTACCACAGAGCTTATCTTAGGATAGGGAGATAGTGTAGAGCCTTAAAGGTCATTATAAAAATTTGGGCATTTACTAAAATAACAGTAACTGCTGACACATATCTTGCATTACTATTTGTCAGGCACTGTTCGAAGGGTTTTATCTAATCCTCTCAACAACCCTGTGAGATACTAACTACTTGTATCCCACACTTTACAGATGAAGACACCATGGCACATACAGCTTAAGTAATTTGCCAAAGGTCAGGCAATTGATGAGTGACAAAGCTGGGATTCCAACCCAGTCAGCCTAATTCTGGAGCCTCTGCTCTTACACACTGTCCTGCACCACCTTTGAGTGGGATGGAAAACCATAGGAGGAGAACCATGACTGACCCACATGTCAGGTTTACTTAGGCTACTGTGTTGCAATTAGGTGGTAGGTGGGGCAAGAGTAGAAAAGAGAGACCAGTTAGGGCCTATTTCAACAGTGTAAATGAGAGATGATGGTGATTTGGATGATTTAGTAGCAATGGAGGAGGTAAGGAGGAGTCAGATTCTGGATTCGTTGACAAATGGGCAGTGGAGTCTGGGAAAGAAGGAAGGATCATTGACGATTTCAAAGTTTTTATCCTGAATGACTTAAAGGACAGAGTTGCCACTTACTGAATGCAGAAGACTACTTAAAGAACAAATTAAGGAAAAAACTCCCTTAATCTTTTAGATGTCTTCTAAAAAAGGGATCTAAAGCATCATTTTAGATGTCATTAGACACTCAAGTGAGATTGGAATAGACAGTTGTATATGTGAGTCTGGAGTTCAGAGGCAAAATCTGTCTACAAGATATAAATTTGAGCAACATTACCATATAAGCTTAAAAGACTATAATAAATCACCAAGGAAAAGAGAAAAGGGGAAAAAAGAAGTCCAAGGACTGATCCTGGTGTACTCCAACATCACTCCAGAGATGCAGAGGAAATGAACAAATATTAAGAAGGGTGGCCGGTGAAGGTGGAGTAAACCTGGAAGGTTACAAGTTTGTAGAAGCCAAGTGAATAGAAGTTTAGGGGAAGTAATCTACTTTGCCAAATACTAATGATAGGTCAAATTAGAAAAGATCTGAGAAACCATTACTGGATTCACAACATAGAAGTCAGTAATCATCATGGAAAGAATGGTAAAAGATTGTTGGTTCAAGAGACAAAGATGGGAGAGCAATTAGAGATAGCAAGAACAGGCAACTCTTTCAAGTTTTGCTCTTAAGTGTAACAACTAAATGGGATGGGAGTTAGAGGTGGATGTGCAACCAACAAATAGAGGACTATTAAGATGTGAGAACTTGTAGAATGTTTGAGTGCTGATGGGAAATATTCCAGAATGAATAAAAAATGGAGAGTTGTAATCTGTTTGAATAAGTGAGAGAGATTAGAATCTGGTTCTGAAGTGGTCACGAAGCACAAATATTTCATCCACAGTTAGAGAAGGCAATGGACATGAGCACAGGTGTGTTTAGCACTATTATTTGCTTTGTAAACTGATCATGTATTCAGCAACATTGCCACAAGATCTTATTCGTTATGATAATTGGGCTTTTGGTTTTCTTGTATTTCTTGTTGGTTTATGTAAATACTCTTAAATCTACAAAGAAAGACAGTTTTGTGTCTTGTCTTCTTTTTCAATTAATATGTTTCTGTGGTAGTCATTAGTAACATCCACCAATATTTCCATATCTTCCCTTTCTGGGTCCACGTTAGGATTTTAATTCCTGGGTCTTCTATTCTTGAGTGGAGCCATGTGACTATTTCTCACCAACTGAGTTTTGAGACGAGTGACATGTATCACTTTGGAACCAGAGCATTTAACTGTGGATACTAGACCCTGCCAAGTTGCCATGTTTCCTTGGATACAATAACTGGCAATGCTTAAGATGGTGGCTATTCCACCAGTCTGCCTCTCCGAGTGTTAATGAGCCCAGTCCTTCTGCCAACCCATAAAGAACATTAAGCATGAACAAGATATAAACTCTTGTGGTTTATATAATCTAGCCCATCCTGATTAATATGTCTCTTATTTGTTTATCTTATCTGGTTGCATTGGTCAGTACTTCCAATACCATGATGAAGAGTAATGATGGAAGTGGAGATTTTTGTATTACTAAACACCACTAAGTAATGTTCGCAGTAGATTTTTATTGAGTTAAGTAATTTTCCATTTATTTCTAGTGGTCCAGATTTTTTAAAATCACAAATAGTAATTGGATACTACGAAATACATTTTCTACTTCTATTCAGGTAACGTGATTTTTCTTCTTTAATCCATCAGTGTAGTAAATCTTTGTTATTAAATCATATTTGAATTCCTGGAATAAACCCTACTTTATCATGATATGTTACATTGTTAGACCTAATTAATATCTTATTTGCATTATAGCACTTATATTTCTAAGTGCAAGAGGCCTAAAATTTTCTTTTTCATATCATTTTCATGTTTGGAAGAATGGTTTTTCTAGCCAATTATACTATGAATTGAGCATATGTCTCTGTTTTCTGGAAAAAAAATTAGTGGAGTAGGAATTATCTGTTCCTTGATAATCAGATAAAACTCAACAGAAAAATTATTTATTTTAATATTTTTTAATGGTTATTTAAACTTTTGGTTTGATTAATGTTCTCTACTATTTTTACCCAATTTCATTAATTTCTGCAGTTGTCTTTATTATTGTGGATCAACTGAGTTAAACATTTATTAAATGCCTGGGTCAATGTTACATATAAAAATTACTGTCATAATTTTAATTTTCTTCTTTATTTCTTACTTGGGCTTAACTCTTTTGTACATTGTTAATTCTTTTTATAGATGAACAATCAGTTCAGTTGACTTTAGTTTTTACTGTAGTAAATGTTTTAAAGCTATAAATTTTCCACTGAATACCGCCTTTAACTACATTCCATAAATTTTGTCATGTAACAATTTTATATATTTGTTCTAGTTATGAAGTTATTGCTAATGATTTACGAATAATACTTCATAGTTATTCTAATTATGAAATATCTACACAAGGGTATTTAATAGTATGATTTTAGCTTCTAAACATGTGCCAATTTTTTAGCTTTCCTTTTGTTATTGACTTCTAATCTGATTGAATTATTTTGTGTAGTGTTGATTTTTATTTATTGAAACTTCTTTGTCACATAGTATTTATACAGCTTTGTGAATGTTTTATGAGCATTCAACAATACTAAAAATTTTCCATGTATATTTTATATTTCTATTTCTGTATAAATCTATTATCCTGGGTATATTAACTATGTTATTCAAATCTTTTTCCTAATGCAATGTATATTCCACAATGATTCACATTCAGTGGGTCACGGTCAAACTCCAATAGGCATAGAAAGGCCTGGAAAGTGACTAAACAAAGTATTGAATAAATTTGTCTAGTACCTACTCACCCCATAGCATCTTCAGATTTGAGTTCAGGGTAGGAAGCCAGCAGCAGCACACGGAGTTCATCCATTTGTCAATAACAACACTCAGCAAGTCCTTGTTACTTGTCACCTGTTTCAGAGTAAGGAGTGTCTTTAGTGCAATACCATGCCATTTCTCCACTCTGGGGCTTTGCTCCATTAATTATCCCCCTTTTTTTCTTTGCGTCATAATTCTCTCTACTGGCTTCATCTCTTCAGCCAAAAAACAAGTTCAATATCCCTCCATCCACCTTTTTTGTTCCTTTCCTTTCCTCTGGCACTTCATTAAATGATTTTTTAATGACTGACTCCACCACGTCACCTCTAGTACCTCATATGTGGGCTACAGCCATGAGATGGGGCAATGACAAAACAAGGGTAGAATCAGCCTCTAATGAGATACTGCAATAGTCCAGGTGGAAATGAAAGGGAATTTGGATTGATATGGTAGCAGTGAGGATGGAGGAAAGGCTTAAAGGTTAGAAGAAAGAATTAGAGTTTAGACAGTGGAAAGAAAGTTGTGAAATACTCATCTCAGAAAGTGAGCACTGCTGAAGACAGCGAAATAGGATTTTGCAGCAGTGTTGTGTACCCACTTGAGTTTGACGAACATGAATTTATCAATATAGCAATCTGCCCAGCTGTATGATTTCCTCTAAAAATCTCAAATGCATGGATACTGTCAATCATGAAATTAGTAAATGATTTGGGAACCCATGATTTGCTAGCCATCTCTTGTAGATTGATCTTCTTAAATTAGTGTTGGGTTTACTTATTTCTTTGCAGAAATATGTGCAACGGTTATCTATCCATTGCCTACAAAATAAAATCTACATATCTCTTAGCCAGGCATTCAAGTTCTCTCCATAATCTGACCAAAATAAAAATGTTCAGCTTTACCTTCTCTAAAATTGTCTGTGCACTTGACTTGTTAGTTAGTCAATATATCACATGGTAACATAGGGACAAGGGATCTTTTGTTTTGCTTTATTTTCTTCCAGAGTTCATCATCTCCCTTTCCTTTAGCAACTGCACTTAGATTTTCCTTTGGCAAATGACTTCTTCTAGACTTTTAATCCATACAGTTCCAGAAGAGCACCCTTTTGGTGAGAGGGATGCATAAATAACCAAGACCAACACACAGTAATTGGCTCAGGAAGCAAATATGTCACTAAAGCCATGAAAATTAGAATCCATGAGCATCAATCCTGAACTGTTTCTGGAAACACGGAGGAGGACAAACAACCTCCTAACTGGTGGTGGTAAATGGGCAGAATGTAATTCTGAAACTTCTAGGGGCAATCTGGCCCACGTGAAGAGGACCTTGCTGAGAATTAAGCCGACAGAAGAAAGAAATTCCAGAATAAAGAAGGGAATATTCTTGATAACATCATTTGCATTCTGTGACAGCCATGCCAGAAGGTGAACTCTTGGGTTTTTAAATTATGTCACTAATGAACCCCCTTTGTTTCTGTAAGTTTGGGTTTGATATTTGAATCCTAAACGTTCTATAACCTGTACAAGTAGCCACCTGCAACACTGTCTCCCAGCTCCAGACCTCTGAGGCATCCACTGTGTATAGCACTATTTCAATATTTAGGACAAAGTGGGTTATATGGTCATTTACATGGTTATGGACATTTCCTGCCTCTCCATCTAATAGCAGGTTATTTGAGGGCAGTTTACTGCAGACCCTAAATCCAGACTTCCTATGATTTAAATCATGGCTCTGCCTCTTACTGGCTGAGTGACATTGAGCAAGTGTTTCACCTTTTTGTGTTTCTGATTCATCATCCATAAGATGGGAATTTGAACAGTAACACCTGAAAAACAAAACAAGCAAACAAATAAAAGAATGGAAGCACCACAGAGTTGTCGTAAGCAGTTAATATACGGAAAGCCCTCAGAAAAGTATCTGGCACATAACAAGTAAGCTCTACGGGAGTGTGAGCTATTTTTGTTACAATTATTATCACAATGATGATGATCACTATTATTATTTGCAACCCCGTTGCCTACTGCAGTGCCCTTCAATTACAGAGTGTATCGTTCTTAATTATTGTATAAGTGGATTTTAACGTAGTATCTGTTTGTCGGATCCTGCAGTTTTAACATGGATCAAACTACCAACGCATCAGAAGGTAGCCCCTGTCATCTCAGCTCAGAATACTGTAAAAGTCCAAATCTTCCTGCCTCATTCCTGCTACTTCCATCACCTTCTCCTCCATCCCTGCCTATACTCAGTTCCTGCCCTTTTAGTTTCATCTTTCTTGCCCAGCATCCAATAGGTGGTAGAACTTGACGATAGATAGATTTCTCCTTGGTCATTTTTGGGTATCAATCCTGTGTCTTCCATCTGATTCTCCATCTTACAGTGGTTTCTCTGCATTACCACACCCTGGCCTTCTACCTGGAGGATCAGCTAACACTTAACAAAGAACAGCCACTCCACTTTAAGGCTTTAGAACATACTCTAATCAGGATTCAGTATACAATCCCCAAGACACAGGAAGTAGCTAATACTATGTATTTCAAAGGGTTAAGCATAAAAATATATCTTCTCTTCAACTAAAAATTCCCAAGTCTCTTTCCCTACAAGTTAAAGGAGAATTTCTAGGTTAGGGAGCTCCATTCCATGTCAGCAGTAGTCAGTCTCATAAGTAGGATTAGAATGAAGATGGGGTCACATTCGTCACTTCCAAACTAAGGAAGGTGACTGGAAGGAAGAGGGGCCAGTGAGTTTGCAGATCATGAGGACTACTCAGTCTACCTAAAGAATGCAAGACATATTTATGACCTGGCCATTTTGAGATTTCAACACCATCACCAGCCTGGATGCAAAAGAAACTGCCATCATTCAGAATGTTACCTGAAGCAAAGTGTGGGGTAAATTAGCAAAAGGCACAAAACCCATAAAAAACACCTATAATTTAAACATGAGATGTTTCCAATGTACTAAATTTGAAATGATGTGCTTATCCGTGGTCCTGCTGGAGGAAATAAAATGTTCAGCTTGGGAAATGAAGAAAGGAAACATATCAATGTTTTGTGCATCATGCTGGAAGAAATGGAATTATCTGAACCATGTAAATTCAAAACGTACCCACTTTAAAAAAGCACATTTGCTGTATTTGGAATACAATTTGAGAACGTAGAATTTCAAACTCCTAGAAATTCAATAGTGAAAATTTTAAGGCAATTTCTAGTTTTCATACAACAAATATCTATAAGTTGCACTTTTGTACGTGAACACACTCAGTAGAAAACTTTTACATGGCTCGCTACAAAAATTATCACAGGTCAAATCAAATCTCGTGAAAAGTTATATGATAACAGAGGGTGTCCTAACATGACACTGCATGTAATGTTGGTTGATTTTTCTCCCACCTAAAATGAAGTAAGAAGGCACATATACCATGTTAAATATTGAAAAGAAACTAATATTTATTTTAAAGGGAAATATTAGCATATTCACTAGATTTTAATGTATCATTTTTCCTACGTTATTTTCCCTAGAAGCTGATCCTGAGATGAAAGTTCATACGTAAGTGGTGTATCAAGGAAATCTCATTAGCAAAACCAATAAAAGACTGAAGGAAGCAAGACAGTGAAGGGAACGAAGCCAAATGAGGGTGTGATCTCAAACAAAGTCCCACACAGGGTAGCTTCAGCTTGATCCCAAGGAAAACTCTGGAGAGGAAATTACCCCTCAGAGTTACCTGAGTCCAGGGAGCTGGGCTTTCAAACTCCCACATCCATTGGAAAAGGGTCGTCGATATAGGATCAGTCCAGAAGGCCATAATTTCCCATGTGCTCAGTCAAAGAAGGCTCCAGTAGACTGAAGAACCTTCTCCCCAAAATTGCTATAGTCGATGGAATGATGGGAATAAAAGCATATTAGAGTCTGGGGATACACAGGAACAGGAAAAGAGATATTAGGGAATATGGATATAGCTCTGACGTTATTTACTACTTGGTTCTTTAATAATGTTCATTTATATAAGTAATACTTCATACCATTATTAACTTTATTATTTTAAAATACAGAAAGACACACTTTGCACAACTCAAACAAAGATACCTTCCCAATATGAATGGATACAGTTAATTGCTATATAGGTCAACTCAAACGAACAAGTCTTCATTCTGTGATACACCATTTTTATTTACACAGTCATTCAAAAGTATTCATTTATTGGCCACCATGGAGAGAGCCCATTTAACGTTGTTGTTAATAACTTTGCAGTCACAAAGAACTTGCTTTGAATCCTGGCTCTACTGGTTACCAACTCCATGATTTGGAGCAAATGACTAAGTTCTCTAAGTCCCTGTTTACACATGTGTAAACTGGAGACAATCATATTTAAGGATTAAGTGAGATAATGCATGTAACTGATTTTGCATCGTGTCTGGTAGGTGGTAAGTGCTCAATGTTACTTAATATAACAATGAAAATTATGATGATAATGTACAGGTAGGGTGGTAACATCTGTGTATGGGATAGTATACGTGAAAGAAAAATAAGATATGGTTCCTGCCTTAAAGAGCTTAAGATCTTAGAAGGCAAGTCATGAATAAATATTTAGCATAGAAAAGATAATATGAGAGAACGACATATGATTGATACTGAATGAGATACTTAAAAAAAGACGCCCCACCTCTACTCTCCCCTCCTCCCTAATGTGTTCTCCACACTGACACTGGAGTTCTTTAATACACAGCTTTAATCATGACACTCTCTCTCCTTTAATTGTCAGACTCCCTTTTACCTACATAAAACCGGGCAGGTTCCATAGCATTAACCTATGATCTACGCATTCCCCATCCCCTGCAATCTACTATAGTTCAAATCTTTCACTTCATCCTAGTGTTCATTCTTCATCCGAGAACTATTAAGAAGATGTAGTATTTTTCTACATCTGTGTCACCACTCAAGTAGTTTCATCCATGTGGAATATCTTAACTTCTTAGTGTTGAAATTTCTCCATCCTTAGATGTCCAACCCAAGTGTCACCTCCTGTATAAAGCTTCCCCATCTGTCCCATTTAAATTACTTCTCCCCTGTCCATGTTCTTTTAGTAGACAGTTTTACTACTTAATGGTTTTTACACTTAATCATGTACTAGTAGATTGTATAAAGGAAAATGGCTGGGGAGAAGATGTTATGCACTGACACTGGGTCAGCCACTCAGCAATGACCACCAGAATGTTGGTCTTTGCACTAGACTGTAAGTTTCTTGAGGCCACGGATGACCTCTAAGATACCACAGAGGAGTTACAAAGAAAGGAAGAAAATCATCGTGGAAATAAAGTAGTGGAAATACACAATGTACTGCAAATAAAGGGAAGATAATTTCAAGAAAGTATACAAGGGAATTGGTGTCAAATATTTCTGAGAAGTCAAGGAAAACAATGAATGAAAGAGACTTGCACAGGTTAGGGCTTAGTTAATTTGGAAAATGCAATTCTCCAAACAAACCATACTTATATAATATATAAATATAATATATATATTTTTAATTTATATAATTTATATATTAAATTTATGTCTATGTATAGATATAGGAGGGAATAAATAGTGAAAATATGGAACTAGCAGTGTACTTTTTTTTTTAACATATTTATTGGGGTACAATTGCTTTACAATGGTGTGTTAGTTTCTGCTCTATAGCAGTGTACTTTTATCCACATACAAATAAAAGCTATGAGACATGGTAGCTGGTGGTGGGAGGTTGACATTTATGTCATGAGAAAGAAATTTGTGAGTTTTTTAAAAACCTGTTTTTGTTAAAGGATAAAGGGAAATGATTCATTTAAGAGGGAAATATTAAAAGTGCTAGAGAGAAGAATAATTTGAGAAGGAACTGTTTTTTTTTTAACTCCAAATTTTACTCTATAATTAATTGGTGTATCTGCCTAATTCTTATAATTCTACAATATGGAAATTAAAAACACCCAAACTCCAGCTTGACCTTTTTGCACTGTATCATTTTTCCATTACGTAGGTAGATTCATGTATTTGAATTGTAACAGCAATTCTTTGTCCACTGCTCCATTCTTAGGGACATTCCCAACTGGTTCAATACAGAACTAACTGGGTCTGCAAGGCTGATGTTCTCCGTTCAAGCACCTAAGCCCACACAAGGTGGCCAGATTCCCCAGCCTGTTAGCAGAAGCTTCTGGGTGTTCAGGGCTGCTGGAGAGCAGCTTGTCTGTCCATGGGAGGTGAGTCGGCAGGCGTCCACACTGGGTGGTGTACTTACTGGGAGTCATTTCCAGATCAAGGGCCTTTCCTTTCCCTCCCGCTCTGGGGACTCCTAGTCTCTTCCTCCAGTTCTTTCCCTCCAGTCACCACTCTGCCCTTCTTTTACCTCTCCCCAGCCCCAAGGCCTCAATCTTCTGATCTATAATAAAAAATTGACCCACGAATCTTTGTTTAGCATTCAAGTCAGTGGTTACTTTTAATCTTTTTTCAGCATTGGTGTGGGCTGAAGGGGGAAAAAAGAACCCTCAAAAGGCACAGAGAACAGATTGCTGGTCGCCAGAGGTGGGGATGGGGGATGAGCAAAATGGATGAAGGGGGTCAAAAGGTACAAATTTGCAGTTACAGAATGAATAAGCCATGGGGATGTAATGTACCACATGGTGACTATCCTTAATACTACTGTTTGCATATCTGAAAGGAGCTTGGAGAGCAGCTCTTGTAAGTTCTCATCACAAGGAAAAATTCTGTTAACTATGGATGGTGAAAGATGTGAACTGGACTTATTGTGATCATTTTGCAATATATACAAATATCAAATCATTACATTGTACATCTGAAATCAATATAATGTTATGTCATTTATACCTCAATAATTAAAAAGAGCACTCAAGATACTAGAGAGACCAAAAGAGTAGGAAAATATATTAAAAACAGATTAATGACCTGAAGCATCATTTTGGCATGTCATCACATAGATTAATAATAATAATAATAATATAATGTCTAACTTTACTGAGTGCTACTGGTCTTATATATAAGACTTATGCAATCATAAGCCTTGGGCAAATCAATGAGAGAAGTGCAATTATTTTTGCTATTTTATAGATAAGAAAACCGAAGGACACAGAAGTTAAATATTCTGCCCAAGGTTACTCAGCGAAGAAGTGTTAGAACTGGAATTTTGAGTCTAGGCTGTCTAGTTCCGGAGTCTATACTGTCAATCATCCCACCATCCTTCAGGGGTATAATATTAGTTTTGCTGAAACACGGTTTCTCCTAACACAATACTTTTGTATATTTCAAATATATATATATATATACATACACACACACACACACACACACACACATATATATAATTTGGGCTTCTCTGGTGGCGCAGTGGTTAAGAACCCGCCTGCCAATGCAGGAGACATGGGTTCGAGCCCTGGTCCGGAAAGATCCCACATGCCGCGGAGCAACGAAGCGCGTGCACCACAACTACTGAGCCTGCACTCTAGAGCCCACATGCCACAACTACTCAGCACACGTACCACAATTACTGAAGCCCACGCGCCTAGAGCCCGTGCTCCACAACAAGAGAAGCCACTGCAATGAGAAGCCTGTGCACCGCAAGGAACAGTAGCCCCCGCTTGCCACAACTAGAGAAAGCCTGTACGCAGCAAAGAAGACCCAATGCAGCAAAAAATAAAAATACATTAAAAAAAAATTTAAATACATATAATTTTATATTATTACTTTGTAGACAAAGATTATTTCATACAAGTCAGTGAATTAAAAATTAAGATTTTTGGTTCCTATATTGGTCCAGCTACAAAAGTACACAGTATAATTGTTGCTGTCTAGTGAATGTAATCACATAGAGAATATTTTCTGTAAGATTCTGAGTGGAGCAACACTAACTAGTATATTAATTACTCTGATTTACATTAATGATTTATAAAACCACATATAACGTGCCATGGAAGTGTGCAGGGGGTTTAGATGTATGGAGAAATGTGGGAACTGACAAAATAGACTTGTCTCAGTTGTATGATTTCAATGTAGCTTTTAAATAAGTGCTTTCCACATTGCTTGAGTAATTAGAAAACCACCTGCAGATATACAGTGTAGTTCTGTCATACAGGTTCTCAGGTAGGTAATTATAGTTTACCTCCATACACATATTATGAATATTCTCAACATCAAAGTGAAGCCTTGAAAATCATTTATGGATACAAATAGAAGAGTTCCTATAGAAATATTAAAAACTGGTCATTATCTCTTGGTTTCCCAAAGAATTTCTATATAGAATTCATTCCCCTTAATGTTGGCAGAATATAAAACAGTAGTTCTCAGTCTCTTGTTTGCTCATTCAAAGCAGCTTATTGTGTCTTCAAAATGTAGATTTCTGGACACTCCCAGAGATTCTGATTCATTAGATCTTGGGGGGCAGAGGGGGGGAGGTTTAGAGTCTGTACATTAAACAAGCCCCCTCTGGGAATTCTGATGCACATGATCAGCCCACCGCACTCTGAGAAACACAGATCAAAGGGTGTCAGAGCAACGTATGGCTGTGTCTTGACATGGATGCTTTGCTCAGGGAGCACCTGGACAGAAGGCCATGTACCCGGTTCTGCCTACTAGGTAGATCAGCCACTTACTGATGGGTGAGTTTGTGAGTAGAGTTGAGGCACCTCCCTCAACCACTGCTGAAGGATTCAATGACAAGACTTTGGAAACCAACACAAAAATTAGTTAAGAAGGACTGAACCTGGAATATAGAATGAACTACTTGCTATTTATTCAAGTTAATGTAAGAAAACATGTATACAGCAGATTTTAGGAGCTGTCATTAATTCCTATCCTTCCTCATTCAAGGACTAATGAAAAT